TGTGTGTGTGTAAGACGGACGTTTGATACTTCGATGAACATACCTGTCCATAATGAACGATACCAACTAATTTTAGCTGTAACAAGAAATGTAGAAAAAAAACACGACTCACTAACCTAATGTCAGAAATGCTCGCTATTCCAATGTTGAGCATTACGAAAGTTTGCTATTCGAAAGTGCAGCCCACGTAAACTTGTGAGACGGAGATGACACTTCCAGATATCCAGATGATGGTGTTTGTGGCAAAAAAGGTTAATTGATCTTCCCCTTAAAATAAGCCCCTAAAAACAACTATTGCAACATTCTTGAACCATGAAATCATGATACAAATGTTGAGAAAATTAACATCATGCACCAGCTGAGTTTTTGTTTGTTTTTTTTGTGTTTTTTTTTGGGGGGGGGGTTGTTTTTATTCTATTTTTTTAATTGAGGGGAGGGTGGTATTCTAATCACAAAAGGCTTTAACTGCTGTAAGAGCTCTATTACAAAGATAGTCTATAACGTCATTACTAAAAAATAGAATATAATATAATTAATGAATTTTCAAAAATAATGAGTAACACGTTTTGTGAGAAGTTTACGGTTTTATTTCCGCAGAACTTACAAAACAAGGTCCTTTAAGAACAGATTATTTTTCGACTGTGGTGTTTTCGTGTGTTACAGTACGACGAAGAAAAAAAGATAAAACTCATCCCTTCAATCTCTACGATGTAATCATATCAATCAGTTATTAAAAGTTTCTTTGGTTTCAGCCAACTGTTAGATAAATAGTTTTTATTAAAAATGGAACCTCCACATTTCCTTTGCCAGGCGGCTTTGTCTCCTTCTCTCAATCCGTCATGTCGTTCTTGTTTTCTCTTACCACCAGGACCATATCATCATCAGGAACAGAGCGTCTCTTTCTTGTATGTGATGCTCGGCCTTCTTTATAATTTTGGTTTTTTAGAGTGTTGCTGGCCAGGTGAGTTTTGTATTTGCCTGTAGTCTTATCCCTGTCCATGAACTAAGAAGAAAAATAAGATACTGTAAGATTGCCTGAGTACATGAAATATGAAAATGATTTTAGCGTAGATGAAATGAGCAGAGGCGAAACGATTTTAGAGTATGGTATGATATGAGAATAGACGAGAGGAGATAATATTAGATTTTTCAAAGGTAAGGCAACGAGACAGGTTATCACACGGTATACTTTGAAACGAGAAATGATGAGGACTAGTTTCCCATGTTGAAAATTTGTTTTCCTAGTTAGTTAACACGCACGTTGAAGGAAGTTTGGATTAGGAAAATATACACTTTGAATTCATCAGGGCGAAAGATCAGCTAAAGAGCAAGCGCGAAACATGTTATAAGGGAAAAAACATTACTCCCTTCTAGACCTTCTAGTTTTGTTTTCATGAGAGTTTTGCGGCACTTGCAACACAGTAAGGTCATATAGGTGCCGAAGAATAGATGTGTTACAAGACAGTAACATACACAAAAAGAAGGCGGAGAGATAAGGACGATAGATGTTTGATAGGAAAGAAGGGGCAAACCCTACCAGAACACTCACCAACCAACCACACCTTCTATTTTGCAACTGTAAACAATTTTACATTCATCATGTGCATAGATATTACCATTCATCAGCTCTATTCCATCATATATGTACTATCAGTGTATTACTATCACTATTGGCTACCACAATAGACATGTGTCTTCCTGTTTTTGACGTCGTAAAGCTGTGAGACCTTTTGCTCCCAATAATTGTCTTATATTAGCCATTTATTTAGAGGGGGGTTCCCTTAGCTTTCTTTACCCCCCCCCCCCAAAAAAAAAGGGGGGGGGAAGTTTTCTGTGTTTTTTTGGAAAGGTTGGGGAGGGGGGTGTTTATGTACTTACTGGCGTCTGCGATGTAAAATTTCCCTGGTACTATATTTACATTCCCAGGCAAAATATCACTTTAAAGTGAATTAAGTGACTCCAATATAGAAAGAACCGTCTGTCCACACACCAGCTAATGAGCTGCTATAGACGAAACACTGCTCATTTTCTAATATCGGACGAGTGTCAATTTGACTTTTAAAAATCAACATACCTTTCCAAGGAGGGTACGGATTGTGTTTTCTGTGTTCTTCTTTGAGCCGAGAGTGGCGTCAATGAAGAAAAAGGCTGGAGATTCAGTAAATGGTCCGACGTCAGATATGGAAACGCCCATGCTTTTTTGCCCGTATGGGGAGAGTGCTGAATGCTCTGCCTTCTCATCGACATCGCTCGGTTTTCCCGGCTTCCTAAACGGTGAAGCTTCGGTAAAATGACAAGCCAGCTCAACACACACAAGTAAGAGACACGTACATAGAACTGGCACCTTCATGGCTGGATGTAAGTGCAGATGGGTTGCAATCTGCCAAAAGAAAAGCAAAGACCATTAGGAGGGCTTAAAGGAAAATCTCTTCGTATCCTATTTTTGAAATGTTAAGCAATCGCTAATTTAAAGTCTGCAAACCCACACTGCTTGCTATGTCAACAAAGCATTTTGCATATGATTGTGTCCTATTGCCTATGCATTCAGTTAAGATAAGTTTCTTTTACTTCAAATGCTTTAAAAAGATAACAAACGTGTGTTTTCATTAACGTTACAATCTGTCTAGACATACCTCTTCACATGCAGAAATATAATTAGTTGTCCAGCACAAGCTGTATCCTTAATACAGTCTTGGTTTTTTATGGGGGGGGGGTAGTTATGACGAATACCTCGGACGTTTAGAAGAAATTGCTAAAAATACCAAAATTTCCCTGCTTCAAATAAAAGTGATTTCCTGGTTCCAAAATTGCCTCTGAAAAGTTACTATGCTTGGCTTTTCTTTATGACTACTTTCCGAGACCTCTTCTAAGGTAATTTACGGGCGAGCCTATGGCAACAAACTATCAGAAGTGAAAAATAATTAGTGTGAGTAAGTAATTGTATAGGTGTACCATTCCTATCAACACTATTACGTTATTCAAGAGCCGTGATCTCCGAATCTAGCTTTCGTCTCCGATAGGACTATGCCAAAAGGCTTGAGAGCCTTGAAAACTCCACAAAACGACCTGAGTTTTAAAAAACTCAAGCATTCTAACCAGGGCCATGCGCTCCGTAGTCCATCATGATACCTTCTGAGTTAACGCAGCGCCAGTGAAAAGTCATTGACACTCCTAAACAATGCAACTAGTTTATCAAGAATCTAGTTTCTTGTTCGAACCAAGTTAGCTCTTACAAGATGATACTGTCTTGATCTTAGCTAGCGATGGGTCATATACAACGAAACTACGGCATGAAGTTTAAGTTGGCTAATTAGTGATGACTATAAGCCTCTAGCGCCTATAATACCAAGTACTCAGGATATTAATGGAGGGGTAGGCCACGCAAAAGATGGACTTATGGAGTAAAGGGAGCCCTGAGAGACTGTAACATCTCAATTAAAAGAGCAACCGAGTTGGCCAAACATGGAAAACCCCATCTCCCGCTCAACGCTCAATAGCAACAGAGGATGAAAAAGTAAAAGTAACGGTAGACTATAAGCAAACCAGAATGAAATGCGTTTGAGAAGCGCTCTGCCTACCACAAAAACACAGTCTGGTAACAAATGATGATCCGCCAACGTTTATATATTTTTAAGTGTAAACACGACCCAATACCATGGCCATAAACCCGTCCTCGACTTCATAACAAAATGAATAATGGAAACGAACAGGTGAGATTTAAAAGCTCCCCACGGAAACCATTGTCGTGAAATTTACCGCCATAAAATGTTTGCGAGTCTCGGGGGTTGGGTACAAATATTCATTTTAATGGACCGTGCTATTGATCTTTGGATGAAGAGTTTATACTACATACCAGGGTCATTAAGTTCATCTCGGACCCTGTGCTTTGAAGCAAAAGACTCTATGACATTCAATGGTGTAACGCTCAAATAAAAATAAATATGCGCGAAGTCTCGGGTTCAAGGCTGTTAAAGGGTGCTATATATACGCTTCTCCCCTCAGATGCCGATTTGATGAAGACATGAAATTCAGTCATTGGTTGATACGATTGTTGTAATTAGCATTTCGATACCTTCTTTTCACAAAACAGCCAGCATAATAACAAAGAAAATTGCTCGATATAACACTCACACTGATTCTCCACCCTCTCCCCCTCACCTCTCAGTGATAAGCCGCATGCCAAATTCTTAGCCTGCTTGTCTTTGTAAGGGTTTTACGGAACATGCAACAGAGTATATTGATAAAGATGCTCGAGAGTAGAGTAGCGAACGAGTTATGATAAAGCATAGAGCCCATATACACACCCGCTCAACCTCCTGCTCACTTAATTATCAGTGAAAGGCACAGAAAAGAGCACAGGTCGTGCACATAATCTGGCTATTCATATCACGTCTCTGCTGGCAGTCCCAACTTGAGTCGTATTATTGAGGGCCCCAGTACTGCAAGTAGTCGAGATACCTGAAGATTTTTACTGTCGATACCGGGGATACCAGATGCAAAACTTGACCCACAGATAATTAAAAAAAAGAGGATTGCAATATCTAAAGAAGCTTCCAGCAAGATGAAGCAAGTATATCTTCTCAAATAGAAAGTGTACGTACCGTCAATCTTTTTATATGGATGCGAGATCTGGACTCTAACTAAGCAAAGACACAGAAAGAAGACTAGAGGACGCTGAAATGTGGTATTTAAGGAGACTACTCAGAATTCCATGGACAAAAGGAAAACAAACAGAGAAGTGCTCTAAATGGCAGTATGTGAAAGATCCATAATCAGAACCATCAGAAAAAGACAATTGAGATTCTTTGGCCACATAAATAGATCAAATGGACTAGAGAAACTGCTGCTGTGTGGAAAGATAGTGGGAAAGGAGAGTAAGGGACGACAAAGATCAACATACACAGATGGCCTGAAAAACTTCGTAACAACGAGTAGCACAAAGAGAAAACCCTAGATCATCAGGAAAACAGACAACAGAAAGGAATGGAGCACGAAGATTGTCAATGTCTGCACCAGAAAACGGAAGAGGAACACGGGGGG